ACGCGCTTAATGTGATACGATAACCCAATTCAGTCCAGCCACTTGTTACAACTCTTTTTTTTGGGCTGTCTCTTGCCTACCCAGTACCAGCCCAATCAATATGGGCCCATCAAAACAACACAACCACTCGCTGCAAGAATCCTATAGTTCGGACTCGCCCCTTTTCTTTTCAATTTTCACCTTAGCATGTGTGTGTGTGTTTCTAGAATGCCGATCGCCAATGCATTGGCAAAGTGAAATATTATGAAGAGTTTTTAGGTTCAATGGTCCTGAATTTTGATTCGATTAGCATTTTGGTCTCTCAATTTTCAAAATCATTCTTGTGGTTCTTCAACTTCCGTTTCATTAGGACCAAATGTCATATCGTCAGTTTTGTCAATTTTCTGTCAAAAATAACCATGTGATGCTCACGTGGGGATTAATTGAGGGATAAAAACGGAAATTACTTGGCTCATGATATATGTGGAGCATTCCTACTTGGCTCATGAAATTACTTGGCTCACTAGCTGTATATGAGGTTTTGAGGGCTCTAAGCGTAAAGTAGTGCAAGATGCATGTACCAAAAATGATATTTAGTTGTTTTTTTTTTTTCTTCCTCAAAGCTTGTCCAACAAGGCCAGGATGACAAATAATAGTAATAATCAAGTGATAGAGCCGTTGGCATTTCATCAAGCAGGTGGTGATTGGCCCATGGTGTCGATAAGTTAAAGAGGATTGTCAGCGGGGCCCTAACCCGGTCAACAGAACCCTTAGGCCTCCAATCTCATTTCAGCTGTCAAGGCTTTCTAGAGCAAGCGTTGGGCTCCACCAGCTTGGGCAAGGCCCAAAATAAGATTTTTGTAGGCGAGATGACTTAATGCTGATATCATTGTGACATCAGCAATTAATTTAAATAACAAAAAAATTGAAGAAAAAAAAACCCAAAAATTTCAGAAATTTTTATATTATAAATACCTAGTCATATTCTTCACTTCCCACATCAAAACTCTATACAAATTCATCTCCTTATATCTTATGTAAATAGTGGTTGTTCTTGAATTGTCATGGCAACGGGTAAAAAACCAACAAAAAATTGATAGGGCAGGGACTATTCATGTAAATAGTAATAGTCATTGTTTCCCCTTACCTTTTGTCATAGCAAATAAGTGAAAAATGCTATAAGGAGTAAGTGATTGATGTCAATACCAAAACCACTTTTTATTGTTTAATTTAATGTGATTACTATATATATATATATATATTTGATAGCTATCTTTATTTTTTTGGGAGAAATTTTAGGATTGCATTCATAATTCAACTAAAAAAATCACCATCCACAAAGGGTCATTACAATAACGGCCCTCAAAGTGAAAACAGTGGCTTCACTTTGAGGGAGGAACATAAGAGGGGAGAGGGGAGAAAGAACAATGGCTTTCTCGCCCCTCAAAGTGAAAATAGCTATAGAGGAAGGAAGCTTTAGAAAGTGACTCTTTGGACTAGTCTCTTAGCCATCTATCTCTATAGCATCCCGCAATTCCTGCTCCTTCCCGTCCTTCTTTTGTTTCTTGATAGCACAGAAAAGAGACTGTTCTTGGTCCTTGGTCATCCTTTGTCCTCTTTCGATAATACCATAGATGCTATTGGTCCTGATCTTCGATTCAATCTGGGAAGGGTTTTTTGAGAGAAGGGGGGCTAGAGTTTGGGGGAGCTTCTACAATGAGAAGTTAAAGTGAGGAGACCGATCCAACCGTCAAAACATTTAAAATATTTAAGTCCCATGATTTCTTTACATTTGTTGATGGTGAGATTTGACCTCCTCAAATAACCTCCTCACTTTAAGCCTCATTATAGCCTTTCCGAGAGTTTGATATTAAGTTTGGGCTGTCTCTTCTAAAGCCCATAGAATTTTTCAAATATGATTAAAATTTGGCTTGTAGATATGGTTGCAAACAATGTAATTTCTACTTTGAATATAAAAAATATATCTCAAATGGGAGGATTAGTTAGATAATTTTTCAAAAAATGATAATTGCTAAAATGTTATGTGTCAATTATTTCAGCTAAACTTGTTTACGTAATCATTTCACCAAAATTTTGAAATTTCAGTTGGCAAACTGGAAAAAGTCACCAACTTTGAATGTCACATAATAAACCAGAGAAAATTTAAATTGACGCCTTCACAATATCTAAAATTGATGCTTATTTGCAGAGTATAGACCTAAGAAAAACTGTTCATGCATCATGCACGACTGAACACATTGGAAAAACTCTCTGCATTTGGCATGTGGTCAAGGAGATGAAGTTTCAGCATATGCTTCCATTTATGGTCATTGGCTGCAATGTGTATGCACCAGCACTGCATATATAGCCAGCCATGCATTAAGTAGAGATAATCTATTGGCCTATACGAAAGAAGTATTTCTCTACAAGTTACACCATGTTGACCCACCCAGAAAAGGTTTATGGAAAGTAGAACTCCCACATCATCATGCATATGCAATAAAAGTTGTGCCCATATTTTTCTTTTTTCTTTTAAGGAGCTGTTGGTGTAATTTTTTTGACTAAATTTCGTAAAAGTAGCAGTAAATTCCTGTTTTTATAACGGTATCTCCGCCCTTGCTTACAACGGGTGTATAGAAAATTTTCTTTACGTGCTAGCGACGTGACCAATTTTGTAGAACCATATAGTAAGTATACAACAATTGTAGACAAATAATCAAACATGTAATGGTGTAAAAGGGGTTGACAACTTTGAAGAATGGTTTGCATTTGACAAAACAATTGAGTTGCGTAGAGATACAGCTAATTGACTCGGTGTATGTGTTGTGTGCCATCAAATTAAAATATACATTACTTTATAAGTCACGGTCAAAAACAGAGAAAGCAAATAACAAAGAGCCTGGAGAAGGAATGGATGTGAGAATTGCAAAGATGGTCAAAAAAATATACTACTACTTGTTGAAATATGTAGGTCCATTCAAGATTGGAAATACACGGATCGATCCACCAGAGGCATCACACAATCTTCATATCTATTATATTATTGCTCTGTTCATACTTTATTCATGGAAGCCTTAGCGTTTCTACTTTTGTTTCTTTAGAATTTTGTATTGTGTTGCAAATTTCAAATGCTATGTTTTTCTCACTCTTTGCATTTCAAACTCCTGATATAGAAACATAAACTCAATACGTTAAAACATGGTACGTGTGAGATGAATTTTTACGACCTTAAATGACTAGCAACAATTGATGTAAGTTTAACTTTCGTATTCACGAACATAAATGACTATCAACTGTTAATCTATATAGGACATGAGAATGAATGGGGAAGAGGCAGAGCGGCGCACACAAAACGCGACGCTTAGTAATAAGAAGTTAGTCGGTGCAGATTGGTAGACATGATGAGGAATGTGGTGACATAAACCGCTGGGTTGCCTAAGCTTTTTATGCATGGCTGCGCGATTTGCTTGATTTTCTTCTGTGAAGCACTCGCATAACAAAACCTGAAGGGACAGGACAGAGATGACCAGCAAACAAAAGGACAAAGGTCAAGCAAATGACGACATACTGATTTGACGCTTTGTCCCCACCAACTCTAATTATTCATTGCATCTTCATAACGTCTGCATTTGAATTTCATGTTCACTTTTGGTCTCCCATTACACAGTGCTCTATGATTAATTAGTTTACTTACAAATTAATTACCCTGCAATTCTTATGTAGTTTTGCCATTCTAATTTGCATGTCATTCCAAATTACAAGTCTAGAAGTTATCTCCGTCTAATTTGACTGACATTAAAAAAAAAAAAAAAAAAAGGAAAAAATATAAAATGTTTTAGCACTTTGTAGTCAATTACATAAAAATACCATATTAGCAATTTAATTTGCGCAAGAAACCCCACGTGGCACCACACATAAAGATAGCTGCATGGTCGGGGTCACTAGCAGTGGAAACTATCCTCTAGGGTGTAGGGCAGTCTTAGGCCCCTACGCAATAAGTGTACTTTTTTCTTTTTCTTTTTTCTGGGGATCGAACAAATTAACCATCAATGTCATCAAAATGGTTTCTAATTGTCTTGCCTTCTTCTTCTCTTGTTGGTCATTTGGTCACCTACCAAAAAGGAACATGTACACTAATTTCCACTCAGTTTCAATCTCTGTTAACGGCTTGTCATTTTGCTTCTAGAACCCCCTCTATAGGTTTTCTCTTTTTTTTGGTTAAAACCAAGAGGCTGACTTTTAGTGATGGAAATAAAGGGAGAAAAGCAACGTACTAAGTTACCAAAAAGACAGAAAAATAAACAAGAAAAGAAATGTGAGTTGAGTAATCGAATTACAAACATGTTTTACATATGTATTAAGGATAATGTTTTCTTACTAGCCGCATTTAAGTAAGGATGATCGTAGTAATGAGTTGTCATATTATCTGAAAAGAGAATATGTTTAAATAGTATCTCTGTACCACTGTGTACTTCACGTATTTTGTGAGTGAATATAAATGAAAATTGTGAATTAATTATAATAATATGTACGGTAATATTAGATATGTCCTTAGATGGGGTTATTTATAATACAGAGCCAAAATATTAATGTATGTATGTCCCAGCGTACTAGACGGTGAGGATGTCGTTAGAATTTGTAGTTCCAAGAAGAACAGCAATCCTGATGTGATGATATAAATAAAAGGCATGATTCTGGACTAAGAAAGACAAGAAGAAAATCCTTGCTTCCATTCTGGCACACTCATTTCCTTCCAATTTTCTATTCAAACTCACACTTCTTTTTGCCACACCCTTTTTAAATTCCACCTGGCCCCTTTCCGGGAACCATGCTTATCCCCTTTTTCATCACACTTTACAATTAACCTATTTAATCTCTCTCTCTCTCTCTCTCTCTCTCTCTCTCTCTCTCTCTGTCTCTGTGAAAAGTTGTTAATATTAATTAATGTGGATTAATAATTGTGTAACTATCCTATATAGTATATCAAGGTAGCTATTAGCTCAATTAGGTTCCAAGAAGAAATTAAGGATGGGGAGAGCTCCTTGCTGCGACAAAGCCAACGTGAAGAGAGGACCATGGTCACCTGAAGAAGACACCAAGCTCAAGTCTTATATCGAACAGCATGGCACCGGCGGCAACTGGATCGCTTTGCCACAGAAGATCGGTATCTCTCTCTCTCTCTCTCTCTCTCTCTCTCTCTCTCTACCTTCCTCTTCTTTATACTTAATGTCAAATTAGAGTTTACTTGTTACATGAAATCGGTTATGTTTAATTTGTTTAGTTTTTTTATGAATGAATTTAGGGCTTAAGAGATGTGGGAAGAGCTGCCGGCTTAGATGGTTGAATTATCTCCGCCCAAACATCAAGCATGGAGGGTTTTCTGAGGAAGAAGACAACATCATTTGCAGCCTCTACATAAGTATTGGAAGCAGGTATATACACTTAATATTATATACATAGTTAGATTAATTACATTGTTGCAACTAATTTCCTATATTTAGCTATATATAGCGAGGGCCTAAATTCATGATACAAATAAGGGTTTGTTTCATATATTTATGAATATATATGTATATATGTATATAGGTGGTCTATAATAGCGGCGCAGCTGCCAGGAAGAACTGACAACGATATAAAGAACTACTGGAACACAAGGCTGAAGAAGAAGCTTCTGGGCAAGCAGCGTAAAGAACAACAGCTGGCTCGCAGATCATCATCCGGCCTGATCAAACAAGACATCAGAAGATCATCAGGGAGTGGCGGTGGAGGGAGTAATTCTCATCCCATGGTTCCGGCAGCAGATGATCAAAGCCCTTACTGGCCAGAGCTGCCAGTGCTTGCAGTGCCAACAGTCCTACCTTACTCCCCATCAATTCAACAACATCAACATCAACAACAGCAACAGCCTTGTTTCAACGACCATGCATCCATCAGAAAACTACTCATCAAACTTGGAGGAAGGTTTAATTCAGATGTTCATCATCACGATGACACAAATGTTCAACCCATCCAAGATGGGCCCACAATTAATCTTCAGTTCCCACCAGCTCTTGACTCTGCTCAGCAAGTTTATGAGCAACATTCTTCTGCTCCTGTGGCCTTGATCAGAAACAGCAATGACATCATGGTCAGCTCTCATCATCATCAATTTGAACAAACCCAGTACATGGTCAACAACAATACAGACGACATAATTGGAGATGGTATGCACATGTTTCAAGGGCAAAATGGTAATTACGTGACTGATCAGCTTAAGGAAATGGTGTACAACAACATGAACCCACAAAGATTAGATGCGCTGGAGTTCCTGTATGGGGAAGACATGATGATGGTTATGAATGGTGAAAGTATTGGGTGGGGTGAGATGCAGCTGGTTTGTCCTCCTACACATGTGGCCTCCTCCTCAGTCGACGGCGGCAGCTATGAGCAGCAGCGATTGGTGCCTCAAGAATTATGTGGTTTCAATAACGGGTTGAGTAGCTATCCTGCAGGGGTTCAATAAAATTAAAAGTGATGACCATCTTGTACATTTGATTGTAATAATATAATCAGAGATTTGGTAGCAATAGGGGAGGTGGGAGTTAATGTTTTGTAGGAAAACCCTAATAAGAAACCCATTCAATGATATGTCTGATTTTTCTCTCCATGATTATTGTCCTGGTAATTGATGGTTACTAGCTATATATATACTTCTCCTTTGTAATTTTCATGCTGAATTTCTTCATTAATGTTGTTGAGTTAGGGGACTTTGGAGCTCGAAGCTTGCTAGCCCTCTATTTAGCAATATTACTTTGTGCACATTTGATTCATCATCAACTACATATATACATGTTTGTTTGTTTCTGTTGATTCAGACGGTGGGGATCAGCAATATTTCTCGAAAGAAGTTTTCAAAGAAGAAAAAGGGTATGTGTTTTCTCTTGCAATTAGCATCTATATATTTATGGCTAGGAAGAGCCACACCAAGTTAATTTCTATGGAACTTGCTTCTTTTAGGTTCGCAAATTAATGCATCAGTATGGAGAGAGAGAGAGAGAGAGAGAGAGAGAGAGAGAGAGATTAAATTTTGAAAAGAGATCGATGCTATTTTTGTACACAGTTGAACTGGCACATGCTAACACCCTCCTGTGTCTGCATACTGCATGCAAAGATAATCTACATTCCTTGCAAATATTTCAATAAAAACCATCTTCTTCTCTTTGTCTGGGCAAAGTGCATATATTCTTCTTGTCATATTATCCGTTTTAGATTTAAATATTGAAGATTCTTACTCCCGTAAGGCTAGCTAAGAGCATAGTGAAACCCTAGCTAGCGCTATATGTGTCAGAAGTATACATATTATTAATGGTCCCTTGGATGTATTATGAGTGCATTCAGCCATGTCTACTCACAATGCATTCATTCATCTTGAGTTTCACTTTGAAATTATTATCTATGTGCTTCTTATACATGTCAGAATTCTTTTCTTCTTCCAAACAGTACGAGATCGAGTCGCAATTTTTTGTCTCCATATAAATTCATATTTTCCTCAAACTAGACAGATTAAATAAGAAAAAAAGGGACATGAAGTGTGCTTTTTTCCACAGAAATTGAAGAAAAAGCAAAGGAAAATCATGTGCAAGTTTGCATATTAGAGAGCATTCAAATAGACTAAATCTGGTCTTTTGATGTTCTGAGTACTAATTTCAAATGCCATAAGTGTCAATAAGCTCGATGCCGATTGTTACCTAACAAAGCTTCAATTATATATATGTATACGTAATAACTATCAATTCAGCCAGCATGTGCTAGCTTGAGCCATGAATGTCAATTGTACTTGTTTTAAATTCAAGCATTTTCTTCCGGATGTGAATACAGCAGGCAGATGTTAATTAGCAGAGACCTTTGTTAATTTTAGATTATTGTTTACCACATGATTAGTTTATTACTTCCGACTCTTGTTAGTTAACTAACTAAAGCTTCCTTTCTACTTTATTTCCAAATTCAACCACCTTTTTCTTGGTTTTCTGTTTCCAACCCCATTACTATTACTATTACTATTACTATTACTATTACTATTAGGGATTTCAATTACTCATACAAAGTTTATAAGCAGATTAAGCGGGGGGTATCATCATGAATATAAACTCTAGTTAGATCCTGTCCGAAAGATTGGGTGCTTTTATGTAGATAACCATAAATTTTTATTTATTTATCAGAACTCACTGGGGGGATGATTTAAGCCTGACAGCATCTATCCGCTATGCCTAACCTTTACGTTCCTGGGTGAGGTCAAAGAAGTAAATTCAGTCTTCTGGGAACATTTGATCTGTTGCCTTGGCTGACCTCTACAAAATACAATATTAGTCGATTCCAGTTGTAAACTGCAAGATTTAGATTACAATATTTGCTTTCTGTTGACATTTTGCAAACTTTTGCCATTAATGTTTGGTAAGCCATGGTCCTGACTTTGTTAGAATTGGTTGACATAGTTTGAAATTGGTTGCAGCCTTATCAAGCTACAAGTTCAAAAAGTTGGCCCCATTAATTAGACCAACTCTCAAATTCAAAGTTTATATGAAACGTCTTAATCTTTTCATGATCTCCTTGAAAAACTAGGTTAACTAAATCCGAAGGAAGCAACCTATATATATATATATATATATATGCAAGACAACAGAAATTCTTCTACACGCAAGTTCGGATGTTATTATCGTGCGGATATCTGGATGAGATATGCTATGTAAAACATAAAATAGTTAGCATAATTAATTAAGTTTTCGGAATAATATAAGGTCATAAATATATGAAGTGGGATATCTAAAACATGGCCATAAGATCATAGTCTGTCTGGCTTATGTATATATATTATTACAATTATTATAAGCATATATAAAGCGGACATACAGAAACTCCAGCAAACAAATTAAGGAGACATTAACAGTTCTGAGAGCTTAACTGTACGAATTTTAAAATAAGCCTTCCTAATAATATTCATCTAATTTCTTCCTGTAAAGTTAAAAGGAATATCCCAAAGGAAGAAGAAACAGAACAGAAAAGTCCCCATAGAAAAAACCAAGATATCAAATTTGACTTGTTCTGGTTTCCCTTTAAATTCCCGTCAACCTGGTGACGATAATAAACACCACCATAATTTAATTTACATCTCTGATTGAGGCCCTAGATAGAAATGACAAGAACCAAAGGACGACTTGTGTCACTGCTTTTTCATTCTATAATCAAATAAATCAAACACCCCCCCTAAATATTTTAATGCAAACATTGATCCTTATTCACAATAATCTGCAAGAAAATATTTTTCTTCATCTGTTTTGAATATTATACAATGAAAATGACACTCACTAACATGAAAAATTCTTGCAAGTTTGTCGTCATGTTCAGCAGTTGGACCTGAAAAAAGCGGGTTTCTTCTGTATTATAAAAATGAAATTCATCAGAGAATAATAATATAGCAAAAAGACTGCCACATCTACAGTAGTATATTACTGCAAAGGGGTGTGATAATTCAAATTATTATGCCATTTACGAGGTAGTTCTTGTTTTTTTTTATATACAAGCGATATTCTAGTTTAATTTATCTAAACTATAAAGAGGGAGATTCGAACTCAAATGCACAGCAAATAATACATCCTCATCTTCTCTAGCTAACTTAACTAAGCCCGTGTCTGTCCAAGGTGGTTTTTGATTGGTTTTTTGGTTTTCAAAAGTAGGATAAGGAGAGAATTTGATAGTTCTTATACTATTCACTTGTCCGATTAATTTGGCTCATTTGGTTGTGTCATTTTTTTTAATAAAAAATTATTTAATATATTGGCTTTTGGCCTTGGCAATGGTGAAAGCTAAATGTTACAAATGTTTGCATCGCCTTCCAAAAAAATCTTTTAACCAATGCCATACGCAAGAAAATTATACACGTGCTTATTAATCATCATCTATTTGGTTTGGTCCAATAATACTTCATTCTCAAAGAGTGAACTTCAAATTTTCTTTGGTGGAATTTTTTTTTACTGGACAGTCCTTTTCATCTTATGTCATTATGTTCATTTTTCAAAATTTCAATTTTTTGTCCGGTTTTGGGTACATTCTTTTATTGGGTCTTCATGTTGGAGGCATTATATAGTGAGGGTCTTATCTCTTAATCGTTAGATCAAGCTAACCAATTTAATATAATGGTTAAGAGATAGAGCCTCACGTAAATGCCATATATAAGACTCATTTTAGAATTCTTACTTTTTGTTGTATGATAAGGCCCAAAAACCTTTTTTTTTCCGGATGGGCCCAGTAGATTTGTATTCGGTCCAAACTCTTCAAACCTTAACCAGCCTGACCCAAAACTGAAATTACTAGTTTTTATTTATAAAAATAAGAAAATAAGCCAGTGAATTTTACGTTTGAATATTGTGGAAAATGCCCCAAATTGGCATCATCAGCTAAACCCTAAAGAATGAGGAGAAAACTCTGGAGATAGAAGAGGAAGAAACCAGACGGTATCAATGGCGTTTCCGGCGTCTTTAGCGTCGCCTTCGTCTTCAACCCCTAAATTTCCGGTACCCTTCTTCACTCTCTCACTCTACTAAATTTCCAACTATTTGAAATATCTGAAATTTTCAAACTCCTGGATAACTGATTGGTTCTAATTTTCTCTATTTCAGATTAATGTCTTTGAACAGAAACCATGCCAACCCAAAAGTTGCTTTCTTTTACATCTCCGTCGCCGACCCTTCTCCTCAAGCTGCATAAAAGCAATGTCCTCCATGGCACAATTTGGCGAACCCAGTAAAGAAAACAAGCAGAAGCAGAAAATTGAAATCAGTGTTGTGAAGGATAAGCTGTGGGAAGCCATACCCGTCCCAGTGAAAGAGCTTCCATGGAAGAAAGCAGCAGATACAGCTTTGGAGCAGCTGCTTCTTCTTGGGTACAAGGCACTCAAATGGTCCTTTATCAGCTTTGGTGTCCTTAGTTTTTTATCAGATGTCATATTTTCCATCTCCAGGAACTATGAATTGATCATGCCCTTTGGTCTCTTTGTTGGGTGCTTCTTGACTGATGTCTTGAAAGAGGCGTTGCAGCAAGTGCTTCCAAGCTCAGAGGAGAGTGGACTTGAAAAGCACTTTTTAGGCATCGGCTGCTTTCTTGCTGCTGTTAAGTTTGTCTCTGCCGACCTACCAATGCAAGCCCGAGTTTTTCTTCTGCATGTTGCGAATGGCGGGTTCATGCAGGTCTTGTGGCTCTGGAGAGGTTTATTGAACAAAAGAGATGAAGATGCTTCCTTGCCCATGGACGAGAAATCTTAATTTTCTGCGGAGGCTTTTTCTTTTTAGTTCTTTTGGGGAGGAAGATGGGGATGAGTTTTTGGGAATCATTGCAATATTCAGTGTATATATATATATTTTATGCAATTCATTCTGTTGCTTGGAGAATCAAATAATCGAACTTCCATATCTGTTGAACTGTTTGAGCACATATGGCGTATAAAAATACTGAAGATCACTATGAATATGAAAAGCCCACAAGGGCTACAACGATATGCACAACTATTTGCTTGCTCGATCACAACTGTACAAAATAAGAGTTTGCTTTTGGATTTCCAAAAAAGAAAAACTGGGATAAACAAAGGAAAAAAGAAAGAGCCTGAT